AAGTATAATTGTATGCTTAAAAGTTTATTTAATAATTATTTTCATCCATACCTAAATTGTATAAACTGTATAAACTGTATACTCTAACAGCTAGTAAAAAAAATACAAATCCATATTTGAGTAAATAACATCTTGTAATAATAACATATTTGTTCCGTAAGAATTCTCTCGTGAAGGTGTAATATATTTTGTGTAATTAACCTCTTATTAATCTCTAGCAGAAACTGTGCACTTGAGGAACATTAGTAACAAAGAACATTAGTAACATTAGTACTAGTGTCCAAATCGTACCAGCACTTTGGTTACCAATAACTTAATTATTGAATTACACCAAGCACGTGATAAATGCTCGACTGAAAACTTTTGGTGTTTTTTCATATCCCATTTGAAACATTTCATTCCATTTTTCATTGGATTCTGAAACATGTGCACCCATAATAACATGTAAATGATTGGCCACTTGAAAAAAAACAACAGTAAATGTTTTGAGTCGTATTCGTTAATGCTTAATTTTTTCTTTTTGATCATTTGTGGTAATTGACATTTCTTTAATAAATCAAAAATTTATTATTTATTATTCTTAATGCTTCGAATAAAATTTCATGCATGAAAATTAGAGTATTGATTTCTTGTTTTTCTCAATAATATTTTGGAGGATTTATTTTTTATTTTCTCGATTTTTCTTTAAAGGATATGAAGAATAGTATCACTACATAAAATGTATCCCTCTCTAATTAAAGCTTGTTTGTCTTTTAAGGTTATTGTTCAACAATTCTGGTATCTATTCTTATTTCGATTAATTCGTGTTAATTAATTAATATCTTTTTAATATTACTTACTGTATATGTTTCTATTAATGTCCTCGGCGAACACCTTTTTTCTCCGACGCTTATCACCGTTTCAATGTAAATTTGTACAAATTCATACATGCAATCTCGAGGTTACACGAGGATTCTAGTACCGTTTATTAAATTTGATTAGATATGATAAAAATTAAATTTAGTATATATAAAAAATTGTTACGCCTATAATCATGTGCTAGTGAAACAGATAAGATCTGAGGATCTTAATAACATTTACAAAAAAAATCATGAACCTAGTTCAGTAATTAAAATGAATAAAAACTTTTTGATTATTTTTTATTCCATGTGTGCAAGAATTTTGTAATGTTAAAATCTAATTTAACGAGGTAACTAATATAATGTCAACAAATAATAACATATGACTTTTATATACCAGTTATTTATAATATAAAATGTGAAAGATTAATAAAATGTGAAAAAATGGCGTATTCTTGTTTATGTTACATCATACCTAAGTTATATTCCAACTTGATAGAGAAAAAAAGACAAAGAATTCACTTGGCATTGCGTAGTACTAAAGTGAGTACAAGGTAAAATGAATTTCCACCCATTTGTATTGTCACTGTATGAAGTTAGAGAGTGAATAAATTAGGTTAAAGTGATAATTATCCAATATCTTGAATAAATTAGTTAAATAAAATCTTTGATATCTAATCAAAAAAAAAAAAATTATATTATAGAATTTCGACATTAGAATTATTATTATTATTTTATATACTAATTCTAGCATTTAATTAATCAATGCTAAATGTAGATAATGAATTATTAAATGAATTATTAAAATAGTATATTTCTCATTTTAATGTTTTGTTACTGTGCTTTCTTTGGTTCCGCGACACCAAGTTTGTTGACGCGAACTTGACAATAATTAAAGATCATCCAATTAAAAATGGTCTTCTTGATACATTCGCATTTCACATTCCAATTACAGAATTAAAATTCTCGAAAATATTTGCATATTAAAATATTTCATTTTCGGCGTATAAAGATTATAGTGTTATTATATTTAATTTATAAAATAATGCTTATTATTATTATATATTATTATTATATATTATTATTATTATTATTATTATTTATTAAATTAATGAAAAATGATAACCTTTTAAGTCAAGAAAAAGTGAATGGAAGCTAGATCATTTTTGAAAAAGTGTTATCTCGAATGATGTTGCAGTCATTTAATTGTGGCTTATGTATTAATTTCCATACATTTATTAATTATATGATCAAGATCTTGCGGGCAGTATACATAGCCACGCGGTATTGACCACGCATGCATATATAATTGCTAAAATTCATTTCTTGGATTTTAAGCCAGTTTCAGGATTATAACATCGCATGTTTAGGTTGACCCAGTAAAATTCGAAAATGAAAATTCTATCGTACACTATATTTTATTATAAATGCAATATATATATTTATATTAATATATTTAATTAATATAAAAATTTTATTTACTAATTTAGTAATTCGAATTTGTATAAAGATGTAGCTTGTTTTCTCTGTATTACTGTAGTACAATTGAAGTGTATGCTTTTAAGCGAAATACAACCTTGTACAACTAATCATAAAGTTAATAAATAAAATTTATTGCTCCCAACATAACTTCTTTATATTTTATAAATGGTGCTTGATAGCATTTAATGGGTTCTCTCTTCTTTTTCTGTTCAACAACGAACTCAAAATTTAATCGTTTTTTAAATGCTTATAATCTGTCAATTTTCTCAAATATAAATCTACAATTCTTTCTTTAGAGAAAAAAAAAAAAAAAAAAAAAAAAGTTTTTTCTTTTTTCTTTATTTAATTTCTTACATTTTAAATCTTGATTTAAACCGGATCATTAAAAACTACTAATCGGCAAAAGAAAGCGACCTCTTGATATAATATCTATGACAATCAAAGTATATAATGACCATATAATTTTATTAGGTGACGTCAAACATATATACATTATATATTGCTTTGACTGAAAACTCTGAAAACGAAATAAGAATAATCTATCTCTCTTCGTTCACCTTATTTTAATCTCATGCATTACGTAAATTTTGTCATAATTCAAATATCCTAGGCGCATATATTCATATTTTTTTTTCATAAATTTATATTAGTGGAGCTTTCTATTTTTTTAGAAAAAAAAAATTCGCTTGTTTATAATAGAAAAAAATTTTCCGGATCCTCCTTGTTGAATCTTAATTAACTAAAAAGAAAAAAAAAAAAAATCAAAAAAAAACTAGCCTTCCGCTTACAATGAGTTTGTTCATATTGGACGACATGATTGTTGACGAATCTAGCGATTCCCATAAACGTGTAAAGATTACTACGGCCTGTGATACTTGTAGAAGAAGGAAAGTTAAATGTGATGGTGCTTCTCCATGCGCCAATTGTCAGCGAGGAGGTAGGTTTTTTTTTTTTCATTAAAATTACAACGTTTCTCATTAACTCTGTCGCTAAATGCCGTGAAGATCGAAATCTTTTAATTGGAGAATTCTATTGTAATCGGTATAATTTGACATGTACAGAACCAATGAGACAATGTTAATATGTATCAATAAAAAAAAACCCCCCTTATTATTAAAAAATAATTATATATTATATATATTTAACATTTAGGTTATCAATGTACATTCTCGGATTCGTCATCGAAACGACCTAGAGGTCCTCCTAAAGGATTTGTAGCATTGATAGAGGATAGATTACACACTATAGAATCTCTTTTAGTTAATCTCGTCAATAAAGACAATAATAATGAAATAAATAAGGATATCAAACGAGAAAGAGAAACAACAATCGAAGAGACAACGAGCACAAGACAAAGATTCTCAACATTTAAAATACGACATTATTCCCCGTCGAATCCTATCGCCCCAAATACGCAACACTTATTCATTCCTTCAACCCCTCCTGCCGATGCATCAGGATTTTCTGAATCGCCAACTTTAGTTGCTTCTTATAGTGATGAACTAGCTAGTGATGATGAAGACATACTTCACCAAAATTTGGTTTCTCCAAACGACGCAAACAGTTTACAAAGCAGTAATCTTTCATTTCTTATTAACCAAAATCAACCTACCGGTTCTTCGTATGTCGATCCTCCATTACCAACATCCATACCACAACTAAATAAACCTTTACCTCCCGATGTCGCTCAATTATTATTGGAACAATATTTTAACCATTTTCATCCATATTTTCCTATTATCAACCGAGCAAAATTTTTCAGACACTCATCAAACCCCAACGTCGAAGACCAACCTTCTCCGCTACTTCTTAACGCAATTTATTCAGTTGGAGCTTTGTTCCCCCAATCACTTCCAGACTCTTATAGTCCGGTAACATTTTATGATCGAGCACGAAGTAGGCATCGAATTACAGTAAATGCTTTTTTTATTCTTTTCGAAAATATTTTATTAACCTTTACTTATTTCGAATTTTTTTAGACATGCTAGACTTTTTTTTTGACACACCCAGAATATCGACTGTTCAAGCATTAGTGCTTTTATGTATGGTTGATCAAGGAAAACCAACTTCGTACAGACCTCAAACCTATTCTTCTATGGCTATTAGAATGGCCCAAAGCATGGGTTTGAATCGAAGGAATGGACCCGTGTATCGAGGCAAAGGTCGGCAAACAAAAAAACTCGTATGGTGGGGATGCTTCATAGTCGATAGACTTAATAGTCTTGCTACTGGAGATCCCTTAACAATCAATGATAAAATTTGTGATATAGAACTTCCCTCGCCGGACGAAGTGGATGATCAAGAAGATGATCAACTACGATCACCTCAACAACAAAATTCTCATAGTTCAACATACGCACAACAAATAAACATTTTTGTTAATTTTATAAGACTTGCACGATTAATTGGCCAAATAATTGAGCACCTACAATCAACTTCTTGTATTGGAATGTCTTCGTCTTGGACTCATCATCTTATGGTTTCTAATTTTGAAAATTCACTTGGAGCCTGGCATCGGGAATTACCTCATTATTTACATTATGCACCTTCACCACAACATATGCCACTTCCAGGACATATAGCTTCAAT